ATCTCCTATCCATTTCATTACCACCCTAATATAATCTGCCAATGAGAAAATATGAAAATTTTGTCAAACGTTAGAATAATTGTTGGATTACATGGTCTTTGGGGCGGAAGATATGGAAAGGGAAGAGTGTTACTGGAGGCGCATTCTACGCAAACTGCATGTTTTGTTCTGCAATAAAAGATGACTGGACTGGAAAAAATTTGTTCATACACAAAAGAAAAATGTGCAAACATTCCCTTCATATGTTTATTGTAAGAACATATTACAATGTGGATCTGTTGCCTTGACCAGACTTTTCCACCACCATTATGAGAATTAATGACAACTGGCAAGTGTGAACAGTCAATCAAAACTTATTTTCAACACAACAGAATTCACAGACTACCGGTATCAGCGTCTGATAATGACGAACACGTTGGCCGAGGTAACCGTTACATACACGCGCGTGTATATAAAACGAACATCCGGAATATTCCACGTACTATTTAATATTTTCACTTATGAAATGTGAAATGGATTATTAAAACAACTACTTAACGTTCTACCTAACGGCTGTTATTCAATTATTTTTTTTTCCATTGCAAATAAGTAAAATATGAAGAAGTTATTAGAAATTTTCTTAAAGAAACTTACAGTATACCAACCTAGTTCAGAATATAATTTACACACATTCCAATATTTATGCATTCTTTGCTCTGATAGCAGCTCTCTTCCCAGTGACAGCCTGAAATAAACATAACAGGGCATCAATATGGAACACAGAATGAAGACGTACTTTGCTCTGAGCTTGGCCACAACATAACTGTTTTATTATCTCAGCAACTGCTACTGTTCCACTGAGCTGGACTCTGCTCATTAGCACAAGTGAAGTGATCCAAGCTCACCAAGTGGGAATGAATTTGCTCTCAATATAGGGTGATGATGGCTGACATGGTAGCTACTCCAAACCACAGTAGGGTGCGTGGTATTCCCCCCTATTCACAAATATCTGACTTTGTCAGAGGTGAGAAATTTAGAATAATCCACATTGCACATGCACATATATTTGGCGCACGAGTTCCGTGCCTTCTCTCTGGATGAACAGGTCCTCCAACGGTGAATATAAACGATAATCCGTGGCGTAACAGCCCTCTGAGAGCCAAGGCCGACTAGCTGGCTGCTGGCCTCACGTTCACGTGCCTAAGCAGAGGTGAACGATCATCCAACCAGATACAGGGTGACGTGTAGTCAGCACGACGAACCCCCAGCCATTGCTAATTTTCCTGACTGGATTATGCTACTTATCATAGCTCCCCAATTTCCTCACGATGCTGGGTTGGCACTGGTTGAAAATCCCATGAGAAATTTCTTTCCCTGAGACTCGAACTAGCGCGCATTCCGTATCACTGGTCCGAAGCATGATGCCTCGGACCGCGTGGCTACGGCGCGAGACCCAACTGTGAATGTACTAACCTTATGTTATGTCTCCTAAGTGGTTTCTCCCTTCACATTTTATAACTAAAACTCTGACCAAATTGAACAACAAAGAGCCAATAAAGTACTCACCTGGAAGCCCGACTTGATGCTGGCTACAGAACACCGAGATCCGCACGTCTCACACTGTAAGAAGAAAAGGCGAGTGTCCTTCTGCAGAATGGTGTCAGGTGAGCGGCACGTATGACACGTAACATACTCTTTAATGTACCGCCTCAGGACATTTTCAATTTGCTTCTGCTGGAACCTCCCTTTTATAATGAGCTGGCTGTTCCCATCCACAGAACCACTAGTACCCAATTCTGCCAGTAAGAAGTCAAGTAAATGTTTCGGTTGCCGATGTAACCTTAAAAGCGAAAACACACAAAATCAAAACTTACAAATCCAGTTCAGTTTAGCTTGGATTCAGCTTCAGTTATTATTTTCCAAGGCATGAAATAATAAGAACTTTCATAACAATAAAATTTCTTAGGTGACTGAATAAGTATCATTTAAAAAAAACAAAAAAACATGGAAATGGCTGGATGTTATATCAGTAAATAAGAAAAACCCCACATAATTTGTAAATGACTGATCGAAGTGTCAACTCAATTACAAAGAACTGTGCTAAGCAGCTCATCACTGTAAAGTACATTTAAATACACTTCTGCTCCAACTTACGTCTTGCATATTTCTGTAAAGTTGGCAAAAGATGTTTTTTTTGTTCCTATACGCACAACTTGGGGAGGACGCATGACAAACTTCTGCTTCTTTCCAGCCACCATGTCTGGGTTCTTGTCTCGCATGATGTCAAACACTCGCGTGAGCAACTCATCATACGTGTAATCTCGATCCTGTCCGAACCATGCAGTTTGGCTGTCTTCAACTGAGAAAAATTTGACACATAATTAATGCAACACACAAAATGAATTTAACAACCACACGTAGGATTACTGTTACAACTCAAATTTCAACACTAAAATATAAGTAGATAAATATTTTTAATTTACGTACAAATACACTGTGAAGGTAATTTCTGTAGAAACAAAGGAATGGAAGAACATGGTGCCTGATTAACACAGTTCCAGAATTACACCAAGACAAATATCAGATCATACAAAAGTGGTTCAAACTTTATCTGGAATTTTCATTGTACCTCGCTGTCTCCACCGAGAGTAACTAACTAACTAGATGGCTTACGGAACCCGAAGGTTAATCACCGAAAAACCAAAGTCCTCCACCGGACCCTGTCCTGGGCCACAAAATCCGGTCTCCTTCAACTCCTATCTCTCATAGATCCCGCCTGACACTATCCTCCCATCTACATGTCCTGCCCATCTCATTCTTCTCGACTTAATCACCCTGACAATATTGGGTGAGGAGTACAGATTTTTATGCTCATCATTATGCAGTTCTCTCCACGCCCCATCGTCTTCTCTCCTAGGCCCAAATATCCTCCTCAACACCCGATTCTCAAACACCTGCAATCTGTGTTCCTCCCTCAGAGTGAGAGACCATGTTTCGCACCCATACAAAACAACAGGCAAGATTATTGTTTTGTACACTTTAATTTTCAGGTTCTTAGAACTCAGACAAAATATTTTGGACTGAGAAGTAGGAAGCATTTCCGGAATTTAGTCTCCTCCTAACTTCCTCTTGAATATCATTTTGATTTGTTATTGTTGTTCCCAGATATTTGAACTTTGTAACCCTTTCAAAGGATTTATTAGCCACCCTAAGATGATTTTGCCCACAAGTATCCCTGTCTTAAAATACTGTATCCTATCCTGTAGAGCGAGAGTACCTCAAGAAAACTTCCTAATACAAAATAGGCAAGATGATTTACCAACACCCTATAATCAAAATTCTGGACCAAATTTGAATTGCCACAGTATGAATACATTCAGGACAAAATGGAATTATTTACTCACACGGCTATGTTCAATAATATTAAATTGAATTTTAATGAGATTAATATGATGATGATGATGGCGACAATTTAGACTAGATTCATGCAGCTCACAGCAAGGACGAATGGTGGACTCTTGTAAAGGCCACAATTAACTTTTGGGATCCATAAAAAGTTTCTTGATTAGCTGACAGACTTCTCTAGATAACTCCGCTCCATGGAATTAAGACTACGTTAGCTTTTCAAGTACGCATCATTCCGAGTCTCCAAAAATCATATAAACATAACCACAAGACTAAGAAGTGGGAGTCTTGGCCATTCACTAGGTACAGACGTCCGACTGCTTTGGACACGACAGTTTATGTTTTCCAAATGAAAGTCAAAGTACATGAGATATTCATGGTACCTGGTTCGATTCTGGGATCAAGCAATCAGGAGAATACAGAGTAATAACCGCCGTCGACGTCAGAGCTTAAAATACTGAAATAACACAAGCATTTTTGAAAAATACATAATAGAAACAAAGCGCTCTTACCAGATTCTGGTTTCCTTTCAGTCTCAGTGAGGCATGTTTGGGGAAACAAGATAACATTTTCAAATTTCTTACATTAATCCATCATTCAACAATGCTTACATCAAAAACAAAACACCAATAAAACTATTAAAAATATAATACCATTATCCTTATCCTCGGCTTTCTTTTTCTCATCTTCGGCTATGAATTCATCTAAATCTTTCTTCTTTGTCTTTTTCTTCTTTTTTGTCTTAGAGAAATCCATATCAAGATCAAAACTATCCTGAAAAGATAAATACAAAAATTAACCTAACTGCATCGAAGGTAGTTTTAGAGCATGCTTATGTTTAACCAGATTCCAGACATTGTACCCAGAAGGGACACCGATAGTTTCCATACCTCCACGTTCAGACGACTCTGGGGACAGCTTAGCCAAGTGGTCTTTACGGCAGCAGCTAGAGCACATGAGTGACCACCCCATAAACCTACAGTTTGACACGGACTTCATAATTTTAAGGACAAAATCTGGAGTATGCAGGTTATAGCTTAATCAGATCATCTGAATAAATTAGTACCGTAAATCGTCTGTTCATTTTAGGTTCATAACACAAGACGTTCATTATGCAGCCTATGAGCGGCAAAATATAGGACGAACACGTGAGGATATACGGTGGATTCCGGTTAATTGGAACGCATCGAGTCTAGAACACACCGGCCCGATTATCCGAAGTTCCACGTAAAGAGTTAAAGAAGGTTTTACTTTAAGATTTCTTCCAAATAAACGGCTGCCCCGATTAACCCGGAATCTACCGCACTTCAAGGAATATTCCACATTTTTTAATGGAGAAGTCAAAAAAATTATTAAAATATCAAATGGAACCACAAAAAACTACGCAGAAACACACACACACACAACATATGCAGGTGGCTCAGGAGAAAACTTACTATAATATTTGCTGCACTGACGAACGTACATTAATGTCACCAAGTTCGAAACCAGACGCTACCATACCTCTACTAAACTTTCATCCTGATTTCCATCAATTTCCAAGTTCCCTTCCTCCTTTAATTTACTGCCAGGCTCTGGAAGGGCTCCATCCAATTCTTCCATGTTAAATGGCTTCTTTTTCTTCTTCTTCTTCTTGCCAAAATTTTCGAGATCTAGGTTTCCATCTAACGAAACACAAACCACAGAAACAATCCTGCTACAAAGTAACTAAATGAGTCTGTATACAAGAAAACATATCAATACTACAGAATGCACTCAAGTACGGCTGTCCTGGTACAAGCTATGGAGGCGCTTCTTGACCTCAGCTCCAGACTGGGAGTGAGCGGTCAGAATCATGCTTTGGCCATGCCTTAACCCTGAGGAAAAGATCCCTAGTACCCCTTGGATGGCAGTCCCAGATCTGGTATGGATGCAAAGGCTGTAATAAAAATCCTTTGCCTCCGACAGGGACAAAACCCCAGTTGTCCCGTCCATATTCAGCTACCCTGACTTATGAGCTGCTTCGCTGAAGAGAGCAAAGCAGACTAAAGGAAAATGTGTAGTACAACTGGTCTGAAAACAAAGTACTCAGGAAATTATATGGAACTATTTTATTTTATTTGTATTTGTAGTGTTCTGTCTGACGACAGGTCCATATGAACAGGATCCTTCCATCCTTTTCTCGGACTGGGACCTGTTCATATACGTTCTTGGCAGATGATCCAGAAGTGGTTTGCCATTGCCTTCTTCTGTGTGTGAATGGGATGCCACGGAGAAACCGGGGAAGCCCCCGGAGGAAAACTCCGTGTTGCCTAGACCACGGCCTTGCCCAACACAAGTTATAAATCTGAGCACCACCGGGAATTGAACCCGGGACCCCAAGATTATAAGGCTAGCGTTCTAACCGCTAGACCACCGTGGCTTATATTGAACTAAAATTAACAAATTGGAAAAATTTAGGGCATTACATAATTAAGAACAATGTGGGTTATGTGCGTCTCTTGGTATTGCTAGGACAGTGAAATCTAGGAGGCTATGATAAGGTGTGGTGTGCTAAATGACTAGATTTGGAAAGACACGGAATGCATACAAGATTTTTGGTATGGAAACCTCTCAGAAGGCTGAGGAGACGGGAGGGAAAGAACATTGAAGAAATGTGTTGTCAGAGAGAAAGATAGAAGTAGATCAGAATCACGTCCAATTGTGTGTTATGGTGTGTGTTTAACCTTTACAATCTACTACCAGAATATGAATTAGCTGGCTCTGCTAACTACACCTTATATGAAGTCTAAACAAAATTATTCCAGTTCAAATACATAATATTACTTATCACGGGTCCCAGAAGTCAAGACCGATTCCTCAGAATTATTAATACAGCAATAAAATTACATTTTCTCTTGAACTATCTGACAGACGGAAGTGAAGCCAACATAGAAATGCTGTATTTTGTACGTAGCAAAAGTTCACAGTAGATTGATATTTCATGTCTGAAGCCAAACATTAAACTGATTATAAATATTCAAACTATCTAAACGAGAAGAATCTTAGAAAACATAAAAACTCCAATAAGATCTCAATTTCTGTAATTTCACAATATGGTATGATAACATATAATAAATTCTCAGACACACATTCATCAAAGCATGCATACAAATAACCCAAACACAACTAGCTTACTTCTACTAATGAGGACCATAGTTCACATTCAATTCCTTACCATCGAGCTCCATGTCCTTAATTTCATTGTCAGTTTGTGGAGGTTCCGAATTCTCTTTATCCGTAGACATCTGATCTGTATTTTCACTGCTGTCAGGCATTGTAACTTCAGCTAAGGCAGCATCAATGTCAAAAGTTGTCTTCTTTTTCTTTTTCTTCTTCTTCAACGTTGGGTCAAAGATCTACAAAACAAACCTACGTTTCTCACTAACACCTCTTAAATGAAATGGGAGTACGACATCTTAACACAAGAGAAGATAGTTTTCAACCAATATCCTTTCGTTACGTAAAGGTACATCAGTGGAGAATGTGGAGCATTTCAAGTACTTGGGAAGCATAGTCACGACGGACGCCCTATGCACCAAGGAAGTAAAAGCAAGGATAGCCATGGCCAAGGCAGCTTTCGTCAAGAAGAGGATACTTCTCACTAGCAAGTTGGGCTTGGAGATGAAGGAGAAACTAGTGAAGTGTTACGCATGGTGTGCATTGGTGGTTAGCAGGATTCACGACCCATCAGTAAATGGGTTCGATCGGGACCGCGACATTTAACGCTCCTGCTGTGACCCCCTTTTTGCGAGATGATGATGAAAGTGGAGTAATTGTTGGGATGCCACGGAGAAACTCCGGAGGAAAACTCCGTGATGCCTGGACCACGGCCTTGCCCAACACAAGTTGTAAATCTTAGCACCGCCGAACCCGGGACCCCAGTATTACAGGCCCAGCGTTCTAACCGCTAGACCACCGTGGCGGGGAGAAAGCAGTAATGTTTTGAGAGCCGTCCTCATCCTCAGGGTACCTCAGTACCCTGAGTACAATAATGAAGATGGCTCTCAAAATGTTGGCATTTTCTCCATTAAAACCACCTTACATGACCGGTAGCCCAAGAAGAATTTATTATACTCAGTCACAGTGAAAGATTCAGATCATACAGTTGTTGTTGTTTCTTGGCTCTACAACCCGGTTGTGGGTTTTCGCCGCCTCCTTTTTTCGGACGTTTCTTGGTCTTGAAGTGTGCATTTTTGAGTAGTGAGTGACCAGCCCACAGACTGCACAATTTCTACCCAATCCTGAGTTGACTGCCAGAGCCATCTAGCAGTTAATCAGGAGAAATGGCGGGCTAAATTTTGCTTATGAAACATCACGTATCATGCTCGTAAGGTTCTTTTACAAGCCATTAATCGACGACATAGGACCTCTCATCTCAGCCAGTAAACAATATGAACACTACAATAATGATGATGATCTTCTGGGTCCTGGTACCATATAAGTCCATCAGTTGATGCCAACATTTCAGAGAAACACACCGTCTTCACCTTCAGCTCCCAAGATAGAAATGGTATGTTTCCCACATGGCACTAAAACGCAGAAGATTATCATCATCATCTTCCAACTAAACCTCAAATTTCAAAGCACCACAATGTTCCATAATCACTTGCTATTGTACGCATTACAGTGAATGATTGATGAACATTTCACTTACAATGAAATTAGATGATACATAGTTTGGCTTGTATGCTGATTAGCAGGTGCACACCAATCAGCATCTGTTACACAGAAAATTTGCAGAGAGTGGACTCAGAACCTCATTATGTGTGGTATTGTGGTTTAAATGTGTACTTATTGGCCATAACTATTCTTTGCTTCAATTTTACAATTTGTTAGCACGGACAGCAACAGCTGGAAGACAAGATAAACCAAAGTAACAACATTTAATGAATTTCTTTAATGTTCTGTTAAAATTAAGAAATAAACAATCTTTGCTGGACAGAAAAATCAAATGTTTAATGAAAACAGGGCTGTGCCAAAGTTCAGTCAGATAAACAGTGGCTTCTAACGGCAAAGACCTGTGTTCAATTACAGGTGACTCTGGTGAGATTCATAGTGTACAAAGTGGAACTGGAGGAGATTTTCCCAGAGTTCTTTGGTTTTCCTCTACTAATCCTCATTCCACCATGCTTTATATTATACCACTGTCCCATGAGGTGTGCAACAGTCCAGTTAAATAAGTACAATACAGAAATTCTGTAGATGAATTTACTTAGTTCTATTGTCTCCCAGCTGTTGTACATACTAACAAATAATAAAATTGCAACAAAGAAACAAACATATTAACTTGATTACATCAAAATTTTAAAAATTAGTATGCTTAAATACTGAAAATTCTTTTACCAAACAAAGTTTTTTAGATTACCAATGATTCTAAAGTTGATACCTATGTTGAACTGGCATGAGCCATATGCCATGCTTTGTGATGCTGAAATGTTTACTAGTACAAAATGTTCAGTATTAAAAATGATAAGTGTTACACTTCGTATGATTAAAAACAACAAATATTTCTATGTGACCAGATGTATTTATACAAATTCAAATAACACATGTAGAATGGATAAACGCCACTCTAAACTGAATAGGTTAGGTAACTCTCCAGCCATAAGTTCCATGTGCGTTTTGCATAGGATGAAAATAATAAAAAAGATAAGGGTTTGAAACAAAATCATTAGATACAGAGTAATAATACTTCAGACTTCATTGTAACGAACAGCATAACCCCATTCATCCGTTTGATGACTTGACTTACCGAGTCTTCTTCAGCCATTTTTAAGAGCTCGATATTTAATATATCAAAAACAGATTAATTTGCTATCACTCGGTCTTGAAATAATAAAGCCGCTACTGATTTGCTGAAAATTACACATTTAACATTATTGCATCATCTTCCTATCGCCACATGTATTGCATACTCCACTGATGACTTTTCTGACAACGCCAGCAAGGCTTGGACACATGATTTCTCCTGCCATCTATACTCAATAAACATAGACCTTTCCATCGTGTGACTTGATATCGTAGATAACCTACCCCATCTATTTTAGTTTCATGAAATTGCAGTCCACCCTAGTAAACCACGGATTAAAAAGTACATATTGGGGTCTCTCTCTAACTCCACGGCAAACAACCCTTCTTCTGGTCAAGAAATTTATTATCTTTATGGAATTCAAAGGTTCGTTACCGGGTTCAAAAGGACCTGCCTCCGGTCCCTATCCAATGAACCAAGATCTATCTTAATATTACCCTAAAATATATGCATATGAAACCCAATGATGTTTTGAGACAGCGTCTTTAAGTATGTAAATTTGGTGAACTGTTAATGGTTCAACGAGAACCACTTCATCACAATTCACATCCATTTATTTCAATTTGGAATTGTGTGCCAGATTACCCCGGCATTTTTAAATTTAGGTTTGCACCCCTGCTAATCATAGAAAATTAATAGAATGTCAACTTGACCCATGTGTAATAATAGTAATGTCAACAGTATATATAACACACAAGCGATATCTTTCCGATTTTAATTAAGTTGAATATCAGTAATAACTACGATTACATTAATTAACAATGCATTAGCAGCGGTGTCTCCTACTGTTCACAGTATAGCTACACGCACGACTATCATCTGGATACACATATCTCGAACTTCTCTGAACACGAATTGGTACTTCAACTGACCATGAACACTAAGACATTACTGTGTTTGAGCTCTGGAGCAATTTTCCCACCCCTAGAATACAACATTAATTAGGCTACCAACATAAGTGCATATAAATATGTTGCATTTTTGTAGGCTGTTCGGTAACACTTAATGCAATGTTATTGGCATGATTCATGTAGGAGCCCTCCCAGGTGAATTATTCTACACAAACTGATGTGATGTGAGACGTTTACAATTTTCTTCGCGCAAAACTTTTCAAAAACCACTTAGTGTATAAGCTATTGAGTCAGCATGCGATGTGAGTGGCATTCTGTGCACATGAACGTGAAGTCATGCTCTTATTCAGGCAGCCCAGGGCAAATTATAACTATGGCCAAATACAGAATGAAAGACGAAACATCTGCTTAGCTTCTGGTAGTTAATGATTGGCTTATTCCGAGTAAAACATACCATGGGTCGAAATCTTAGTCATTACGCAGTTGTCTGATAAAACTATTCCCCATTATTCTTCTATAATTGTGTTCCCCACCATCCTTTAGGAGCACTTGCACGTGTGGTGCGGTTTTATCGATGGCATTATTAATTAGGTCAGTCATTCTTGAGGGATATTTCCAATCAGACAAGCTATCACTTCCTTATATTACTCTCCTAGCAACTTAAACGTGGCTCGAGTAACATAAAGACTCTCGATCTCACTTCAGTATTTGAATCGTTGCTTTAAAAATCACTGGATTGGATATGGAAGTCCATATGATCGGCCAGAAATTGCAGACAAGGGATGAACTACTAAGGCTCATCACGGATGGTGCTGCTTTCATACGGAACAATCATGAAAGCATATGGAAATGCCGTTTGGATACGACCTCACTGTCATATCCAACATTTGTCGTGCTATCCGCCCTTCTCCCATTCGCTTCACGTGTCCATACCACTTCATTCTTGCTTCTTCTACTCTCTCTACCAGACCCCTCACAAAACAAATTTAGAAAACACATTTTGATACAGGACATGCCCCCACGTCCTTCCGATTGAAAGCCATGATTACATATCCAGTCCATTCGATAACAGTTTGCAAAAGAGTATCATTGATGAAACTTGGTCACACGATGGCCTGACATGGTTTTAATTGTGCAACCATGAATAGCTTGGGTTAAAAGCTTAAAACTTAATTTTTTGGATTTAATTTTGTTTTATATCGTTGGCACTAGTTCTTGATCGCTGAAATATATTATTGAGTTTCTGGGCTCTCTTCAGAAAATGGATATTTCAATCAGGTGAATAGGTGGGCAATACCTACCAAACCTGGTCCATTAGAAAGAGTTAAACATAGAAACTAAGTAATATTAAATGTAATATACCCTCATCAGAAGCCTTTAGAACTGAATTATATTCTTCTTATTATATTTTAAGCAGCAAGGGCAATAATAGTGGCTAGGCTGTAGGCTGGACAACTGGGGTTGATTCCTATCAGGGATTATGGATTAAAAATAAACTTCAGGAACTCCATGCTGTGAAGGTTCAGTACAAAACTTGGCGGAAAATGCCTGTCAAGAGGCAGAGATTTACAAAGATTGACAATTTGTAAGTTACGTTGTGCTTTCTTGTTCTTATAATGAAGGCATCGTAAAACAATTTTAATTTTTCCTAGGTCAGTGGTCCCCAACGCCCACGGGCACCCGCCAAGGCTTTTTTTGGGTGCCTGCGTTGTTACGGAAAGAGGTTATACTGAATAATGAAGGTCGTTCAACCACGAGCATCATAAAATCAAGGCACAGATCTCGACTTACTGATGCCCATCTTGACGATTGTTTGCGAGCAGCATCATCATCCTACACTCCCAAATTTGAAAAACTGGCCGATGAAATGCAGCGCCAAACTTCCCACTAACTTCCCACTTGAGTAATAATAATTGTACTTATAAAACTACGTATTTTTGATTTTGATTCTAACCAAAATTTTGTATCTGTTGTCAGTTCTAAAATTGACTTACATTGCTTTGAGAAGTAGCTTGAAGATAATGATATAAATTTTTATAAAATAGATTCAACTGTAAGGGCCCGTTTGATATGAAACTTACTTTCTTTGAGACGGACAGACAAACAGTATGCTAGTAGTCACACGCACGTGCACACAAATGGTGTTATATTAGCAGAGATTTAGATGCGGCGCGTCCTGTTTTTAGCGGTCATTCGTCAAATGCTGTCTCTTGGTGTGGGTGCCTACGTTACTCATCACTGATTACATTACATTACAGATATTATGTTAAATGTTGAAAATTATCCAACATTTTGGCAAACATTGCAGTTGCTGTCTTCAGGGTGGATTTGTAATGGTTTGGTGTGTTTTGGTAGTATTATAAAGGGAGGCAGTGGGAGGAGAATTATATTTGATGGTGCTGATTGGTGGAGCGGAAGACTGGTCTGTTATCCGACAGGAGATGAGCACATGGCTCAGAAAAAGATGTGATATAAAACATTTTTTAAGAAACACTTGGTGAGGAGAGGTGGTGATAAAAGAAGTTTTGGTGACCGCTCCACCAATCAGCACCATTAAATCCAACATTTCCCCTACCGCCTGCCCTAAATTATACTGCCAAAAAATGCCCACCCATTACAGATTGAACCTGAAGGCGGCATCTGCAATGTTTGCCAAAATGTTGGATAACTTTCAATATTCATCACGGCTCATCCTTAACAGCTGAAGTTGTACATCAGGCTACTATTATTTGGGTTGCGATGGAATATGTATCTTAGTTGACGGAAACAGGAAATTTTAGAAACCGTATGGAAAGTGGAAATGGAGGATATTAATAAAATGAATCTCAGGGCAGTAGGTAGTGGAGTTGTGGATTGGTCAACGCCAGCAGTGGCTGGTGTGTTTTGTGCACCGGTGATAAACCATATGGTTTATGGTACTACAGTTTGGATATTACATTACTATGACTGAACTTTATTGTGAAATTAAATTAAATTAAATCCCTACTTTATTTCGGGTGGCAAAACTGTTGATCGCTGCCGAGTTCAAAGGTTCATGGATGAAATACATAAACTGAGAAGTTATTAAATTTGGATTACAAAGTGCAATAAATTCATGCCACCCAGTAGGGTTTTTATATGTTTTCTGCTGATAAAATACTGTAATAATTGTGAAAGCCATTTTATATACCATTAGGATCTAAAACCTATACATTTTTAATTGTCCTAAAGAATATATATTTCGAGCTGAATTAAATTATTTTTTTAAAATTTAAATATAATTCGGGTCTTAACCTTTTCACTACCAGTCTTAAAGTCACTAAATATGGCTGTGGGGAAACAATTATTTTGAATTTTTATACGAATTAATTTTTTTTTTAAATTAATTTCATATGAAACATTTATATTTTCCACAATTGCTTGCAAAGTTTTTTAATCTACCAACAGGAGGCAGTTGAGTATAGCAATAAAAGGGAATGGATATGCGAGATAAAGAAGATGACCGATGGCAGTTTATAAATTCTTTCTGTCACCCTAATCAGTGTTGCACATCAGATATCAGAGGTTGAGGAAGTTTTTGGCTTACTGACTCAAATAAACATTACAAATAAATACAATAATAAATTATATTGTTACAACATGCTGGTGGGGTGTGTTACTGTGGAGGCTAGTTTCAAACGTCACTCTCAGCCTCCTCTTGGCTCACGCCTTCCTTCTCAGTATCCTTCCAATGAACGGGACCCGGGGGTTTGTATCCCGATGGTTCATTATGGGTTAAATGATAAGGTGGGTTAGTGGTTATATACTGAGGAGGTTTGGCTACATGGTGCGGAGGTTTTGTGGGTGTGTAGTGGGCTGGCTTGTGTGGTGGTGCTTGACAGAAAGGCAATTTCAAGTCACTTGGTACGCAGTTCTTTGCCTCCAGGGTGGCCGTGACACGATAGTCTGTAACCTTCTGCACCTTGGTGACCCACAGTGTCCGTGTAGCGGTGTGTGTCTCAGGTGACAGATTCAGGAGGCGTGCATTATCTGCAGAGGCAGTGGTAGGGGGCGCCGGCGTCTCCCTGCGGAACTCCAGGTATCGAGCCTTGTGTGATGGCTCCAATTCTGGTGTGTCCTCTTCCTTTTGTGGCACTGCAGGCACTGCTGTTGCTGATGGTATCCTGCACACCAAGTGACACTAGAGTCTGTGTATTCTCTGCTTGTTTCTGTATCAACTATACAGATTACGGGTTTCCATTATACGATTGAGAGATGATTATGAATGATTGCATTGTGAGATATTTTTTGAAAAAGTGAATGTCAAACACTAAAGTGGACTTTTACAGTTACCTGAGAACAGAGGTGGGCTCGATGTAGAGACCCTCTTGCAGATCATCACCCCAAAGAGATTCTTCTTCAGGTGGGCTGTCACGTTTCCAGCAATCTGGCTCGTGGGCTGCATTGTGGCCAGAGTGCAGGTCAACAGGAAGGCAGGGTGGCTTGACACCATACACTGTCATGCAGACAGGGTGGCGAGTGATGCGACGTGTTACCTGTATGCAAGTTGACCCACGGTTTGGATTGTCAGATACCGTAAGAGACAGGTAATTGTTTGACCAGTTCAGAGACTTAGCCTCTGAAGGAGGACAATGCTTCATGGAATTAGCCACACTGTATGTTGAAAATTACGAATGTGACAATGGTAAAACCTTTGAGGTTATGTCTGAATACTTCTACGATGATGGAAATCTGGTAAAACGAAATATTTCATTCAAGGGTATTTCATAATTATTAACTAATGGTTGCTAGTAGTCTGTAAAGATGAATATGATAAGGGATTTATTTATGCATTTATTTGTGGTTTATTTAAGGCTTTGACCGGGATGTTCTTTTGTTAAATCTTATGTGGTACCGCCTGATTCGACTTCTAATGGTTAAGTGAAGTGTTTTCTTCGCGGTACGGTCTGGATTCGTAAATATTATGAAGACGAGCTTCGGCTTCAAAGGGTTAACCAGCTGATTTTCGTAATGGTGAGGTGTAGTGTTTTCTTCGCGGTACGGACTGAATTCATAAATAATATTCAGACGATCTTCGGCTTCAAAGGGTTAATGAATAAGAAATTGTAAAGGAATGTAAAGAAATGGTTATGGTCTAATTTAAGGTATTAACCTACCATTTGACTAGAAGAATTGAGGGAAACCATAAAGAACCTCAATCAGGACAGCTTGTCTACGGACTGAGATATGAAACTGAGGCCTTATGAATACAAAGCAAGAATGCTAACCGATCATGACGTTCAATCACACGTCGTCAGGAGACATCTTAATAAATGGGTTACAGCGAATTTCTGGCAACAGAACCAGGAGTTACCAACAAAAAAATAACAAATAATGCACACGAACTAAGCATAATACGAAGTTTGGAACGTTTCCGCAATCGTTATAATAATGCAAAATAAGATAAGCTGCACAAGTAGCATGCAATGAAAATACATTACCTCAACGTAAAGCGTTTTGGTGGCGGTGATGGTCTCTCTCGGTGGCAACAGTGGGCTCGGTAGCTGAGGCAAGGCCGGGAGGGGAGGAAGGGCAGGGAGGGCTGGCAGAGTAGGCAGAGATGGTAAATGAACTGTGACTGTGTGGGGCGGAGGCGTCGTCACGTAGTCTCCTCGATCTTCGTCTTCCTCGCTGAAGTCTCCGACCGCCTTCAATTGATCGGATTGTTCCTCCAGGGCCTCACTGTCCGCGGCCAAGTCGTCCTGGCTGGCGGCCGCAAATCCCAATGTGCGGGCCCCGGAGTGAGGCTCCACGATGCCACAGCAAAGCGCGACTGGTATCAGCGTTATCCATAATCTCATGCTGCGAACAATATTTTAGTGTGAGAGGCCACCTGGGAAGATGATATTAAAACGTGAATGAACCTCGGGCTTCTAAAAGAGGCGGTAATTTGTCGATTACATGACGCATCACACTTCAGCAGACGACAATATTATTTTACTTACCTATATAATTATTTACAAACTTCATAACCTGAAACCATTCCTGTTTGGGGAATATTTAACAAAAATAGACGTAAACACTCTGATCCTAATAAAATACTAAGGGCAGGGGAACGGGGCAGGTACCCCAGTGAACGCAGTCACAGATGTTATTTTAATGCAGAAACATCAGTTGTTGATAAACATACATCAGACTGCACAAACATATTCAATAAAACAGTCAAATTAGTCACTGCATTTCGATAAACGCTCCCTGAAGTTTGATACAATGTACAAATGTTAGAAAAAGATAAGACGAAACAGGAGAGAAACTGGATAATGGAATAAGGACCGAGAAGAACATGGGACAAGGACGTGAGGATGAGAATTTTGAAGAATTAAAAATTTAACCCCTCGGTTGAAAAGATGACTAAATTTATTTATTATGACAATTAAAAAAAAATAAGCGAAAATTCTCTGAAAGATAAATAGAAAAGACAATATTTTGACATTGTATACTATTATAAAAGGAGCTGTATGCAACAAAGACCCTGATAAATGCAGAAAAATACTGTAAATTATATCTTAATCGATTCTAGCATTTAACGCCCAAACCAAAAGCTAAAACAAAATTCAAGAAATTGATAAAAAGCTTTTTAAAAATATTGAGGGAAAACCAGTTAGAAGTAAAATCCTATGGATGGCATCGCGATACAAAATGTGTTCACAGAATTTGAACAAAAGTGACACGAGTTTTTCCGTGATAAGAGAATGGATAGAATAAGGGTAACCAAAAGGACATCAGAATTTAAATGCAATGGAAGGAGACCAATGGAACGACCCTGAACAAGATGGTTAAGCTAAAACACATCGAGGATTTTCGCCCACAGACGAGTACGAAACAGAAATGCTTTCAAATGCCACAGAGGCATTGGTCATTGATGGAATTCATGCAAAGAGCGGAAAAAAAAAGTTTAACTAATCACGTCCATTAATTTCGTGAACGAGACACTTAATAAACCCCCCCCAATTAAAAACACTGATTAGCAAAAATTCTTTCACGTCTGAACCAAAATAGGACACAGGACAGAAATGCAAAATTGGGCTACACTTAATTATTAACGACACTTACGTGATATCGGCCGATGGAGGATCCACGTCCAACTAAGAATACGTGGCTCTCACCCTTAGCTTATATAGGAGCCAGGCGATGGAATCTCCCTCGTCTGTATATAGAGATAACGGTAGTTGTACCTTAGTACCATTCTTGCTTCAAACGCCTCGTAATCAGCGGAATTCGTAAGACGAAATCACGTGAAGATTAAAATACACAAAACTACATTTTTCCGTTTTTGTACTGCGTGGGAACTAAACTAAGGGTGTTTAAAAAGAGGGCGCTGAGGCGGATATTTGGACCTAAGAGGGTTGGAGATTGAAAAAATCAAAATCAAAATCAAATCAAGGAGGATAAGATGGTCTCGGCATGTAACATGCATGGGAGAGATGATTAATGCACACACGCAGTTTTGGACGGAAACATGAAGGGGAGACGTTACTTGGAAAAGGGAGGATAATATTAAAAAAGGACCTTGGAGAAATCGAATGGGTATGGACTGGATTCATTTGACTTATTTCGGGAATTTTGTGAATTACTAAGCAACTTTTAATTTCTCAAGATCAAATCCGTTCAATGGAGTTAATGGGAAGACGTAACACAACTTGGTCACCCCAGAAGCAGATACCAAATTTTGTATAATTAGTTATCGGCCTGTTAAATAGGTGCTTAATGATATTATATTTTATATTCTTTTACAGTTTTGTAAGCGTGGCAAACCTGGTCTTTCATCCTAATAGAAGATTACAGATTGCATTTGTTTTAGGGAATAGTTGAACTGAAAGGAAAAACGAGAGGGTATGTATAACAGGGGGACGGAGAAAATTACGTAATGAGGAGCTTCATAATTTGAACTCTTCACCAAATATTACTACGGAGATTAGATGAAGGAAAATTAGATACAAAATTTTAGTTAGATAACATTTCTTATGAGACCTGAGTGAAGATATTAACATTAAAGTAAATCTTAAATGGATTCATCTGACTGCTTAATACATGGTTCGTATTCGTAAAGGATTAGAATATGAGAATTACAGCGTGGTCTTTACGTCGGTTTGGCTGGCACCGAGGAACGAGTGATTATTTCTGGCGAGACAAATCAGTGCAGGTACTCGCTCCGTTAATTCCCTAAGGAGTAGCCGCTGGCCGCAACTTACAGTTGTACTCTGTTATCAAATACGATTCAAATTTGAACGAATTTGCAAAAGTGTTCTATGTAGCCTTATGTGGTTCTTGCTGCGTCCTAAATGACGGGATGTCATCGTATTGGGCAGTCGAATTAAACAATATTCCTTACAAATTTCTGTAAATGAGTAAGAAAAACACCCAACTGTACAAATAATGTTGGACGTTGCCTATTCTCTGGGATATGTTTTGATATACACGACGTTTCGGGAATTGGCTGTACCCCCGTCTTCAATGATCGATAGTTATCACAATGACAGACCTATTTTTCTGAACTAGTGGTCTAGGTCATCGTATTAATCTAGAATCCAAGAAGTATAAAGTTCGAGACCAGAACGAAAGCTGACTATATAAATTTTTCCGTCTGTCTGCTCGTAACCTAAACTTTTCAGGGACATAATTTTATGAAGGTAAAGAGAGAATGGGACTTCATTGTCTCAACACTTTTAACTCACTTCAAGAGAAAATATACGAGATGATTTAAGAGAAGAAGACAGTATATTATTAAAATGTGTCCTAGAAACGCAGGTTATAAAGATATAAATTCTGACCAAATAGCTCAAAATAAGGTAGACCGAACACAGATGATCAGATTTACGTAACTTCAATAAAAACTGTGAATTTCTAGACATGATAAGTAACTCTCTATGGTAAGAAAGGTATGTAGATGTCATCAGTTACATAAAAATTGCATATAAAATTAACATAACTCATTTATAAAACTTATTAATATTTTGAGGTACTAACCATTAAATGTACTCAGGATAACATCCAATGGCAGAGTTTTAACTCATCTCACGTCTTCAAAATTCAATGTGGTATGTGGTAGTTAAAATCTGCAATCGGCATTTGTATCAGCGAAGTCGCTTCAAGGCAAAATTCCATAACTCGCC